TTACGACACGTTAGTTAGAGGGCACTGTGTCTGTTTTCCTAACCCACCACTAAATGGGCCCCGGAACCAAACGAGGAGCCTTATAGCTATTGGGCCAAATGAATGAGCGACCTTCATTCATTCAGCTTCAAACGCTTCGATGATCTCTCTCAGATGACTGATTGCATAGGTAAGGTGAGGGCAGATCAGCGAGGTAGATAGGTAAGTTGTAACCCACCAGGACATCACACAAGCGATAAACACCCGGTGACACACAGTGCCACCATGCGGATGAGGATCACCCGTGGAGAGGTCACAGAAACCCCTTTCAGCCATGAGGTCATATTTATGGCCCGGCTATATTTAGGGCATGCGGCGTCCATGGCTTGGGCGTTGCCAGCCCGACTCGTAACCCACTGCTGGCTGCGTGGATTTTTATCATGCTATGGGGCGTCGCAGGTCGACCCAGCCTAAAATGGGTACCAGGATGGGCTGATCTGGGAAAGTAAAGACGGCCGGCGTAGTGCTGACCACATTACCCACTTTGTGCCGATTGATTTGTAAAACATATGGATGCTTTTCCCATATGTCCGATGCGCCTAATGGCGTGAAAAGGGATCTTTACTTTACTTATGTTCCAGGCCCCGGCAAAAGCCAGGGTAGGGCTTCAAATAGCGAAAAATTGCACCGCGGATAGGGGCGACTGTTAACAGGCCAGGTAGGGGTGGATATTAGTGTAAAGATAGCATCAAAATATGTACACAAAGAATTCGGCATGTGTACACAAGTAGAAAAAAGAGGAGATAAAAAAATCTATGTCTGTGAAAAGCGACTAATTAGAAGTTTGCTGAAATGTTGGGCCGAAAACGACGGATATCACAGTCTAGCTGTAAACCACAAAACTACGTGGCAACTGCCCTTTTAAGCGGGAACAGACAAGAGAAAAAGGAACTGCCGTATAGAAGGGAGGTAATAAACCGAACAGTGAGGAAACATACAATTAAGACACTTGAATTGTTTTCTCCTGAAGGCATGTCGACAGCATACTAAGGTACACAGTACTATACAAAACCGCAGTGGTGGAGCCGTTATGTTTTCACCTGTCAGCCTGCGGGTCTGAGATTCAAACCCGCAATGGGGGTGGATTCTTTCTTCAAAAAATGATCAGCTTCCAGATCGACCCGGTTTAAATGTCCAGAAAATGGCCTGCGAAGTTAGGCGGTCAGCGTGATTGTTGACATAATTCACCAAGGGCCTACTAGCCTCTGTGTCCGACACTTTGAGCCCTCACACAGAGATTCAAAGAGGGGTGAAGAAAAGGGGGAGAAAAAAACATATCAATAGATGGCCAGATATGAGAAGTAGAAAACTATTATAGAGAACCTAAAAAACGAAACTAGAGCGAGCGAGAGTGAGAGAGAGAGAGAGAGAGAGAGAGAAAGAAAGAAAGAAAGAGAGAAAGAGAGAGAGAAAGCGAGAGAGAAAGAGAGACCTCCTGCTTTAAGGAAACAGAACAGGGATGCGGTGGGGTAGATACCTGAATGAAGGAAAGACAATTAGAGAGATGGAAAAAGTGACCTATACACACACCACAGTTAAGGTGACAAAGGGACCAAGAGAAGGAGTGAGAGATAGAAAGACAGATAAACAGCTGGAGATTGGAAAAGAGAAACAACGATTTACAAGAGGGATTGACAGAAGAGAGTAAATAGACTGAAAAAAAGAAACATTGAGAGTGATATAGATAAGTTGAACACAGGCACATACACACACACACACACACACACACATACATACATACACACACACTCGGATGTAGACAGAGTCAGTCAGACCGAAAGTGAGAGCTGAGCAGCACCGAGCAGACAAATAGCAACATTTATAGTTTCAAAAGTTGTTTACTCACACTTCAACAAATATCTCGAAAATTCGTGTAAGGATCAACATGATTTTTGGCATGTGGCTTTAGATTTCCTATGTTCTTATGATCTATAAGTTATACTTGCACAGATGATGTTGCTTTCTTAACGCAGCCAATGTTTGTGTGTGTGTGTGTGTGTGTGTGTGTGTGTGTGTGTGTGTAAGTTATACTTTCTGAACCACTCAAACATAGAATATAATGAAATTGACAAACGTATGAAGATTGTTTGAAAGTGAGCTCACGTGTACAGCGATGCGTGGTGATTATACTGAGAACCTATCCCTCACTCAATGAAAAATCCGCGACTCCAGGGAGACTAATTCTGTAAATAGATGACCACATGAGAGTGAAACGCCTATGGAGCGCGTGCAATTTTTTTGTTCTAAAAAGTTCCCCTTACTCAATTTATCCAAGTTACTGTAAACATGCCGATTGTTTGCTTTGAAAAAGTGTCTGTTTATATATATATATATATATATATATATATATATATATATATATATATATATATATATATATATATATATATATATATTCTGAAAATCAGGAAAAATGAAAACTAGATGTTTGAAGGGGAAAGAAAGCTTTACAACGACATGACTATTTGCAGGTTGCATGCCAAATTTCAATAGTTTACACCGAACGGTTACTGAGATTTTTAAATTTTGGCACAACTTTTGGGACGGATTATAGTGCGAAGAGGAGACTGTAGCCAAACCAGGGCCAGCAATGGCGCTGCCCCACCAACATCCAGACAGGGGTGACATGGCCCCCTACACTGGCAATATGTAAGCAGCTCAAACATGGCCGATAATTGAATCCAGCGAAAGGCCGGTATAGGTGGACTCATTCATGAAGCCCAGGTGAAAACATTCAGACCAGACAGGTGTAAATACGGCGGAGAAGCGACTGGCCAA